TGCGCACGGTGACGTAAACGGTGCTCGGCTTGAAGCTTGCGTGCCGCAGGTCGTCCAAAGACCTCCGTAATAGCCGTCTTGAATGTAGACCACGTAGTAATGTCAGCTACGTGGTTATTAAACCACAGTATTATTATTATTACTTGACGTCACCAAATAGGCAGACATCTTTTAGATACTTAGCTTTAGTTTTAAGAGGTCATCGGGATTTTAGAAGACGAGAAAGGCTGCGTGCGGGCTATCTAGTCATCTGTAAAAAAACTCCGAAAAGATGTTCCAAGGACGACGAAGTGGTGCGAGGTCAGACATCTTTTAGATACTTAGCTTTAGTTTTAAGAGGTCATCGGGATTTTAGAAGACGAGAAAGGCTGCGTGCGGGCTATCTAGTCATCTGTAAAAAAACTCCGAAAAGATGTTCCAAGGACGACGAAGTGGTGCGAGGTCACATAATCTATAGACGCGAAAGAATATCAATGGGAAATGGGAGCTATATATCTCCTGTTCAGCTGCGAAACCTGTCCTACGTGCTCGCTACTCGCCTGTACAGTTTCTGCAGAATCAGACTGAGCAGTGTTGCGTCGTTTTCAATCTCTTGGTGGAGACACCTAATTTCGGTTAATAATTAAATGTCAAATTCACGATTCTCCAGATACAAGCAAATCTCAGTGGTTGTACGAAGAACGACGCGTATGTCAGTTAATCATAAGGAGAGATAGGAGTGAGCAGTGCTATTATGATACGGCACCAAATTATTTCTGATGACACGTGACGCTAGGTTAGACATACACAAAGACGAATATAATGTTACCTTGTCGCTGGCGTCGTCGTATGCCCTAACGCTGTAGTTTATTCTTAGCTTATTGATGTTGATCTTACACGTAAGTTTCAAAGCGAGAGCATTGAAGAATACGTTGCGCGGCAATAGCGGTGCCGGTGTTGGCGTCGTTGGTTGTGAGCAAGAAATTGGTGTTCTTTGTGAGTGGAAATTCGAGATAGACAGAAATAAAACTACAATATAATTATTTAACTAATTATTATTATTATTAATAAAATCTTAGCTTGCACTGGGGGCTTCACGATAAAGAAACAGCGAAGCTGCAGGGCACTTATGTAGTCCTAGTTTTTGCTGTTTTGCTAAGTTCTGCAAATCTTTTCATTGTCTCTTCCTCTATTCAGTTTCCTTCCATGATTTCTGCGTTTCTTATGTATTCTTAGGAGCTCAGTCCTTTTGCTCACGGCTTGTCTTATGGCGGTGGGCAGCATGTGTGTGTACACTTCTGCGGTCACGCTCAAGGGTTAAAGCTCCCTTTATAGTATATATTTAGGAAACCCCATTGTTACGCACACCAGATGGAGCTCCGCCCTTAGCTGCTTCTCATCTAAAACCAAGATTCGATTATGAGGAACGCCGCTGTGGAGGGCTCTGAAAATTTCGACCCCCTGGGCTGGCTTATTGGCCCATACCCTTTGTTGGAGAGCACCGCCAGGAAGAGGATATCATTATCATCACCGTTTGCTAAGCAGCTGCTGGCGGATATGTGCCACAGAAATTGGACAAGCCCCGCTACTTACCTCCACTCCACCGAAGGTTATGAGCAAATTCAAGAAATCAAATACTGCTCAACTGTTCAATTATTAGCCTTCGCGACGCAAGTCAGCGAGGCTGCTTTGAATTTTTCATGAGTTGTTAGTTAATCAAGGCGACAAGGTCCTCCCTGCTTGACTTCGTAGTTTAGAAAACTTAACTCACGTAATGTAATCAACCACCCAATAGGTAATACAATCATAATATAATCATAGTTTCATGTATTTAAAATTGTTCCTCAAAGAGAGAGGAATGATGAGGAAGGGTGAAATTTCCAAACAACAAGACGATGGTGCCAAACATTACAGCCTCCGGCACGGAACCATCATGTATACAACGTGGGCGACAACGTGGGCGACAAAGTGTGCGTATGGACACATATTCGTCAGCGTGGGCTCTCCGAAAAGCTGTTGCGAAGATACTTTGGACCCTACAAAGTCTGCGTTACATCAGTGACGTCAACTACGAATTTGTTGCGGACGGCGTTCAGTGTTCGAAGCGCCGCAGACATTCACGCGAGATTGTCCACATGCTTCGGATGAAGCCTTACTTTCAGTGACTAACTGTGCAGTTTTAGTTTTGCCTTGCTTCTCGAACGTTTACCATCGGGGCGATGTTTTTAAAGGGGGAATAATGACGCGCGTAAGTGCCAGTGGCGGCGACAACGAAGGAGCGCGAGTGTCCTTGGCTGAGGGCAGAGACGAAGAAGACGTTGCAGTCTTTGTCCTGTGATCGATAAAGCGTATTTGTTCAAGGTGCCTTGTGTGCTCGTCGATCCCGCGTCGTCGCAATATAGGGATCACTTTGTTCATCGAAGGGTTTCAGAGAGTAGCCGAAAAATTGATAAGTCATCAATACAATTTTTCTGCCACGACCGGCCTAAGAAGTAGCCTAGTTTGCACAAATTAGCCAAACCGAGACCCTGACTTAGTCTCAGGCCACCCCATGATCTAGCAATTTTCCATGCGGGTCGATTTTACTTTAGTAACTGTTTTCGCACTGATGACGTTCTCTCTTGCACGCTTTATGAGCATTTGCCGATTTTCGAAAGTCCAACAGTAATATTGCTACGTGATTTACCCCACACCTCCACCAAATATGTTACGTGGGTGACGAGTTGTTTACACTGCCGGCAATTCAAGAAATATATTTGCAAGAGCGGTTGCTGCGATGGCCAGTCTGGCTCCGAACTCAAGCAGCAAGCGACCTTCCTCCTCTTCGTCGAGCGCAGACGCGCCTCGACACTATACATTCTGGCCACTTACATGTAGCAATATGAAAACAATAATTGTTGAGATTTAACGTCCGAAAACCGCGATACAATTGGGAGAAACGCCATAGTGGAGGGCTCCAGAAATTTCATCTGCTTGGGTTCTTAAACGTGCTCTTAAATCTACGCGAACGTGCGGAAATATATGAGTGCACAAGGTAGAAGGGAAAGCACTTGACAGGAAAGACGCTTTATTGCCAGAAAATGTGTGATAGAAAAGACGCCACTTTATTGAACACGAACGCGTTTTGAGCATATTCGTCTCAATTGAAAATGTGGCCGCTGTGGTCGATAATCGAACCCGCGACCTGCGGGTCTGCAGCCGAGCATCGAAACCACTAGACCACCCTGGTGGTTTTGAAGCTTCAGACACTCCGCTGCCTTTAAAATATTTGTTATGTGGACGCCATTTCGGTACATATTTCCTCCAGTCCTTGCACGTGGGTAGTGAGTCAACAGGCAAACAATGCTAGAGATGTACTCTGGCTCCCTGACCAAACAAACTGAATTGACGTCGACGTACTAACGTAAGTGCCCTTTAAAAGTTTAATTCGATTCAGAGGAATGCGTGTGCGATCGTTAGGCAGATGAGATCTTAACCGCGTTTTTTTTTCGACAAAACAATGCGAAGAGATAGCCCCTACAAAGGTGGTGGAACGCGCAGAAAACATAGTAATACGGAAAGGCGGGTTAGTGGATTTTGCTGCGTACTGTTCAGCACGCCGGATACGTGACAACTACTTTACGTAGACGCCTGCATTGAGGACGTGTCGCATTTCAAGGCGTGGCTCATTGACCCTCTAATTATTTAATAATAATTGAAGATGTATACTCGTTAACTTTTTTCTTCGTTACATATTTAGTGTACTGTTTTAAAAGTGCCCATCCACCACTGTGGCACCCTTTTAAGCCACAGCGGAGGTGTAACTAAAGGAATGAATAAAGAATTGGGTAAATAAGTAAATAAATAAATAACTAAATAAATAATATCTATATAAATAAGTAAACAAAAATGAGAAAACCTTGAAACAGAAAAAAGTGCACGATTCTCAACGCTAATCTGGTTCGCTCTATGTTATTTTAAGCCTTAGAGACTATTCAGGTTGTTTACACGACACGGGTGGAAAACAGAAAATAGTTTTCTTTCAATTTTGGCAGAAACCCAGTAATTGGGCCGACGACAGCTAAGCCGGCGAAACAAGAATCGACCCCGTCTTCGTCCAAATATGAGTCAGCTGCACCCAGCATTAATAACAAAATGCAATCGAAAGCCTTTAGACTATCGCCAATAGTCGCAGGTGTTTGCTCAATACAGTCTCGTGCGCGCGCGCTGTAATGCACATCAGTCAAATTGATAGGGAGCTCAGTTGTAAGCAGTACAATTACGCTCAAGAGCTGGTAGAACGGCGTCAATAGTCATAGCCACCGACAAACCACACTGATATCGTGTACTCTTCCTCACCAGACAACGTAATCTGACCTAGGAACTATTGTTTATAAAACTACACAATTTGAGTCGTTCTTTACGGTGCGCCATGACTATATGGAGCCTGAGAGTTCTACAGAATGTAATGAATGTCATATTAAAGTTAAAACAAGATTGATATACAAAGAAGAAGTTAAACAGTGCCTGAATATACAACTTGCGTACGTATTATGGCGTTCAGAGGTTAAAATGACTCCGAGGCAGACGCGGCACATGACAAAAGTATGGGCAGGTTTGCGGTAGCGGCAATTCTCTACAAGGAGGTTACCATTAATGTGACAACGGTGTGGGCTCCAACTGTCAATGCAGCCGAGCAAGAGGCCATTGCCATGGCTCTTTCAGACGAGAGTCATCAAAATTGTCTTAGAAATTTTAGGGCAGCCAATCGGGTGTTGGCGCTGGGAGCGTAGCGTACAGACATACTCGGTGGCAAGTCGCAACTCATACTCATACATGGCTTCCGGCTCGTATGGGATCCATGGGAGAAGGATACAACAACCTCAATGAGTTGGCCCACTCCAGGTCTCAAGGTTTAGAGACAAGAAGGAAACGAAGGACAAAAGCGCGACCTTAGCACTCGTGTCCTTCGTGTCCTTGTCTCTTTGTCGTCGTTTTGTTCTCGCGCTATAACCATCGTCGAGGTTTAGCTTTTCGCGACCATGGAGGACATCTGGGTCAACCTGTAAGATTGGTAAATAGGGGTCAGCCAACTACAATGAAATTACTCACCATTTCACTATGGGTAGAACACTTTTTTTCCCACCAGATGGGAAGTTCGCTTTTCTAGACATTTCAAAAACATGTTTCTTGTATATTGAAGCTCAGCGAATTTATGAAAGCAAGATAATATATGACATGTGCTTGTCGGGAGGCTTCGATGCAGGAACTGTATTTCTTGATGTGTTTCTATGACCCTGAAAGTCATTGACGTATTGCTTCACAATTTGTTTGGCCAGCCTTCACGAGCTCTCGTGGTATCTCGTAGATGTTGCTAGCCCCAATTGCTTCTATTCTTGTGCTGCGTAACAATGTAATGCCATGCGGGAACTACCGTAAGCGACCCACGTTCGCTCATGTTGAGCAGAAGGTTTTTGTATATTGTGGCACATAGGATTGCGAATAGTTGATTGGTTGTGAACAACGTACAAATAGGTAACGTACTTGCGTCATTTTTCGTTCGTAGATGCGTGTTGTCAGAAAACCTGTAAACCCGTCACAGGGGTCTAGTGGATAAAAAAAGGGACACGGCTGCTGACCCGCAGGTGACGGGATCGAATCCCGGCCGTAGCGGCTGCATTTTCAGTGGAGGTGGGACTGCTTGAGGCCCGTGTGATCAGACTTAGGAGAACGTAAAGAACCCCAGGTGGTGAAATTTCCGCAATGCGGTGTCTTCATACTGTAGAAACACCAACCTGCGGAGCTCGGCTGATGATAGACCGGCCTTCATAGGTGCCTGACTTGTGTTTGAGTCGGAACAGCGGTTTCGCCTGTCTTTGTTGGCGCTCGTTTTGCGCCTGCGTCTTTCTAAGCTGCGGGTTACTTTCAATTCTATGGCGTTTTGCCTCCATCTCTCTCTTCTATAGATCTGCGTCGCATTCGCGGCGCTGGTGTTTCAATATGGCTTAGCTAGCTCGCACGGACGAATTTGCCCTTTGGTGGTGCTATACGAATAGCGGGCAAATGAACAATGGCGTTCTAAATATTTAGCGTGCTCCGGAATGAAAATGGTCATTTGTGATGAAGTGGTGCCTTTTCTCGACCTATTTTGTTCTTGACTTACCCCTCCTTTAGACTTATTACTTCCCCCATGGAGAGTAGCGAACCGGGTACAACCTGTTTAAACTCCTGCTGTTCTTTTTCTTCTCTTTTTCTTGAGCTTGACGTGAAGTGACGACATGAGAGGACAGGTTGGGCTACCGAAATGCTTTAGGTGACGCTACGCGACGCGAACGTGGTACATATTGTTCCAAGTAGACTGCAGTGGCGACTACTTATTCGATCTTTAAGAGGCTTACCTAATTAACTGTAAATACTTTTGCAACTCAACAAATACTCATCTAATAATGATAATTTGAGTGAGGCACAGGTACGCGTGTATGCCCCGCCGCGGTGGTCTAGTGGCTAAGGTACTCGGCTGTTGACCCGAAGGTTGCACGATCGATTCGCGGCTGTGGCAGCTGCATTTCCGATGGAGGTGGAAACGCAGCTCGGATTCGGGTGCACGTTAAAGATGTCCAGGTTGTCGAAATTCCTGGAGCCCTCACTATGGCGTCTCTCAAAATCATATTGTTATGAGACAATGTCTCACTAAAGCAGTTAGATAGGCGCCGAGAAAGACGACGTGATTTTGGTGTAGGGCACAGCTCTTGTTCTCCATCTTGGCTTGCACGTTGACGCTGTGTAAATATATCTTCAAACGCCTAGTTTTGCGTGTACCTTCACGTAACATTTGGGTGGAAGGTGCTGGGTTACAACGCACGACGGAGTTACGCAGCGGACGCCTAGTCGCTGCTTCGAACATGTCCAGTAGCAGCGACGCTTCGTCAACTGCCGCGCCCAATGCATCAACGGCGCCGACCTCCCTGTTTTTCTCGTGGCCGCTCCACCCCGTGATCCCTACCACTTTTCGGGAACAGAGAGAGAGGACCTGGATGAGTGGCTTAAACTCTACGAGCTCGTCAGTGAAAACGACAGGTGGGACCCAACCTTGATGCTGGCAAACACAATCTTTTATTTGCAAGAAACGGCCAAGGCATGGTTTAATAGCAATGTGGACGCGATCCCGAGCTGGGACGTATGCAAGACCAACTTTACACGAATTGTTTGGTAAATATGCCGGCTGCAAACAGGCTGCTAGGAAAGAACTTGGCACAAGTGTTCAGACGGCCACGGAGTCCTTCCTGGCGTATATACAAGATGTGCGGACCCTTTGCCGTAAAATTAACTGAATCATGGCTGAAGCAGACAAGGTAGCGCACGTGCTCAAGGGCATCGCAGACGATGCATTTTAATTCCTTGTGTGCAAAGGCTGTACCACCGTGCAAGATGTTATCTTGGGGTGCCAACGCTTTCAAGAGGCTAAAATCTGTCACACTGCCCACCACTTTACGTGCCTTGCCAATACTGCTGCGACGTCAACTTGCGAAGATCTCCGTAAAGCAACCCAGCCCAATTCACACTCCGGTGACATCACGAGAATCGTACGCCTCGAAATCGAGGCCATATCACCCACACCCTTGAGTGCACTAGCACCGAGTGGTCCCCAGCCGACCATATCGCTAATACAGACCATTTTTCGCCAAGAACTAGCCAACGCGGATATTCGCACGGTCTGTCCTGTGCACCGCCCTGACGCTGTCAGTTCATCTACCTCCAGCTACCCACAGCATTATCGCCGCCCTGCTCCACGTAATCATGACCCAAATGCTTGGAGGACGCCTGATGACAGGCCGATTTGCTTTCGATGTAAACGAGTGGGACACATTTCCCGCCATTGCCGAAGCACGTGGACCTCACCGTATCAGGCAAACTTAAGCATCTGCAGCCTCCACTCACAAGCCCATCTCTATGGCCAGGAACTACCACGGCGTGATGGCTCGGCTAATTACGACCCGACCACTACGACCACTGCCCAGTACAGTCACTCACCTTCACCTCGACGTAGATTTTCCCGGTCTCCGCCGCCGCCCCGTTTCCCGTCCCCACCATCTGCCCGGTGGTTTTCTTCAGAAAACTAAAGGCTGCAGCTCCTGGAGGTGACGCTGCTGATAGGACTTGCTCTCCAATTCCTCTGTTGACGCTCCTGACCAATCAGAACCTGATAGACGGTGAAGTGGACGGTTTATCTGTTAAAGCCTTGGTAGACACTGGCGCCCATAATACTGTGATGAGCTTGCACATTCGTGACCGCTTAAAGAAAGTCCTTACTCCAGCCCCTTCACGCAGTGTTCGTGTTGCTGATGGTGGTACGGCTTCTGTTATTGGTGTCTGTACTGCACGCGTTACTACCGCCGGCCGTCAAACTTCAGTTCTCTTCACTGTTCTCTCTCACTGCACCAATGATGCGATCCTCGGTCTTGACTTTTTGTCCACTCATTCCGCCCTCATCGACTGTTCAACTGGCACTGTGCAATTTGACCTACCGTGTCCGATTGATCCGCCTAGTCCACCGCAAGCTCGTATGTTCTATGCTGAGCATATCCGTTTGTCACCGCAAACTGCAACCTGCATCATCGTAATGCCCTCACCACCTGTATCCAATGGCGACTATGTGCTCGCACCCATTACATCCATTCTTTTGACTCACAGCGTTACCTTTCCACACACTTTTATTCAGTTACGTGCAAACCACGCTTTCTTTCCTGTGCTCAACTTTGCTCTGTGTCCACAAGTGCTCCCGCGTGGAATTGCCCTCGCCATGCTGACTCCCTCTGACTAATCCGTCATCTCAGCTCTGTCTTCGAACGATGCTGGACACTGTAGCTACACGCATGCTCGATCTCCGCAAGCAAGCCCGTCTGCGGACGTTAAAAAATTATCGCGTCAGACCTTTTGCCGCATCAAGCTGACGTGATCCTTCACGTCCTTGAGTCATACTTGGACGTATTGGACTTTTGTGATGGTTTGCTAGGTCAAACCATTGCTGTAAAGCACCACACTAACACCGGTGATGCTTCCACTGTCCATCGACGGCCATACCGCGTATCTCTAACAGAGCGTTACACAATTCAACCAGAGGTCGACAAGATGCTGACCAGAGACATAATTAAGCCATCACGTAGTCTATGGGCTTCCCCTGTAGTTCTTGTCAAAAAGAAGGACAACACTTAACAATTATGTGTTGACAACCGACATCTGAACAAGATTACTAAAGAAGACATCTACCCGCTACCGCACATAGACGACGCCCTGGATTGTGTTCACGGCGCTAAGTATTTTTCGTCCACTGATCTAAGATCAGGGTACTGGCAAATTGCTGTCGACGACATTGACCGCAAAAAGACCGCTTTTGTCACGCCCGATGGTCTTTACCCAATTAAGGTCATGCCCTTCGGGTTACGCAACACTCCGGCCACCATCGAGTGGATGATAGACTCTCTTTTGCGTGGGTTCAAATGGTCAATTTGTTTATGTTACCTTGACGACGTTAACGTCTTTTCTCCGACCTTTGATACTCACCTCAACCACCTATCCTCAATACTGGCTGTTTTTCGCAATGCCGGTCTCCAACTGAACTCGTCAAAGTGCCACTTCGGACGCCAGCAACTAACTATGTTGGGCTACCTTGTCGACTCCTCTGGTGTACGCCTTGATCCCGATAAAGTGCGAGCCGTGCGGAACAATGTTTGGCCACCTTGTCGACTCCTCTGGTGTACGCCCCTGATCCTGATAAAGTGCGAGCCGTGTGGAACTTCCCCATTCCGACCTGCACCAAGGCAATCCGCAGCTTTCTCGGTCTGTGCTCGTACTTTCGGCGTTTTGTGAACAACTTTGCGGAAGTAGCCCATCCTCTCACAAACTTATTGAGAAAAGATGTCTCATTCAAATGGGGTGCTGCGCAGGCTATGGCGTTCTCTGCGCTCATTGCATTGCTAACAGAACCACCTGTTCTGGCCCATTTTGACAATGCCGCCCCTACAGAAGTCCGCACCGATGCCAGTGGCCACGGAACTGGTGCTGTTT